GTTCAATAATTGAGAACAAAGTCAAATACACTAACAGTGGTAAATAACAATAATAATGGTAATAAAAAGGGAAAGAAAGAACCCAAAGAACCGATGCGCAATACAATTGCTCACCACCGATGCCAAACCCCCTTCCCAAACCCCGCTGGCCCCCCTTTCCAGGTAATTCCCCGGTTTATGTGCCGGGCATGGAGTTCCAGGGGGTGGAATGTCCCTTTGGCCGGCTCGGGGCAGCGGTCCCGGCTCTGCTCCCTCCCGGTTTCCCTTCGGTCCCTCCTCGCTGCCAGAGCATGACACACACACACAAAACATCCTTGACTTGGGACAAACACGGCTTACTAAACACCCAAAACATCAGTCTCTAATGCACATTATTCTCATTATGAATCCAAAACACGGCACTGTGCCAGGTACTGAGCAGCGATGACCTCTGCCAGCCAGGGCGGGCGGGTTTGGGGTGCAGGAGGGTCCCAGGTGAGGGGGAGGACAGGGGATCGCTCCCTTTGCCTGCTCAGATTCTCCCCTGGGGCCAGCAGACCTCCTCACCCCCTCTACCAGGCTTTTTCCTCTTTGCTCCATAGCTACTATTAATCTTCCAGTTAGAAAAAAGTCCGAGCCAGAGGACTGCCCCTTCCTCCCCCTTCTCTGGAGCTTTCTCATCCTGCTCCTGAGGACCACAATTTCCCAGCAGGACCAAATGTAGGGCCAAAATGCAGATGCCATGAACACTCTTACTTCGACCCGGCAGCCCCCGGCCAGGTGGGAGCCATCTCAGGTTCACTGTACGAGCTGACAGTCTTGGGAATCTAATTTGTTTAGATTTTCAGCCTACTCCAAAACTGATTAGTAACTATACCAGCATATTTTAGTGCTTGCTGTATTTCCTCTGTGAAGGGAAACAACACTGCTAGTCTTGTGTCAGATCAAGTTCATGGTTAGGTAACAGAGGCAAACTTTGGAAAACAGCCCTTTGTGCTCAATCTCAGCATCATCTGTAATTAAACTGAGTAACAGAGATGATAGGTGAAGTAAGTCTGGACCTTATCAAAAGCTGGCAGCCAGCAGGTGGTTTTGCAGCCAACAGTTCAGGCTTTCACTCTGCAATTGTGCTCTGGTGATAATCCGGCTTTTTATGAGTGCCGAAAAGGTTCACAAGGCATAAGCTCTGGCCACTTCAGATTTTGAGACAAGAAATTAGGGTCCATATTGACACAACAGACTGTAAAGATATTGCCAGAGATATTGCCATCTTTCAGAAGCAAATACAGCCCCTCTGAAGAGATGACACCAGATTATACTCCGTTTTTTTGTTGCCTCCTGCCCTGTAGCTGCCTCAGTATGACTCAGTCGTTCAGCAGCACGATGCCAAAAGGCTCTGTTGTCACTGCTTTCTCCAGTGCAACACTCTTCCGCATTGCTTTTAGATGATGCTCAGACCGAGTCCTGACTCTGCAGCCAGTCTGACCTCTGGAATATTCTCCAAAAGTTGTTGATTAGGAGACAGCTGTTGGCAGTGTTTCTGTTAAGTTTCCTGTTTCACCATTTCCCCACCAATATGAAGTCTATTCTCTAAAGAGTGTGTGTGCTTATGCTACTGTGGGATGGTTTAATGGGAATGATTCCTTCACTTGTGATCGGTCTCCTCTGACCAGCACAGTTATCAGCCTTTCAGAGTCTGTAAATCCATGAGTGCAAGCGTGTGAACATGAAGGGCTGAGGAGCAGAAGGGACTACCTCAGTCACTGTTTCCTGCAATGCATATTATCATGTCATCCCTTCTAGAAATCTGTCAATCTGGTTGGAACATTCAGTAGAAGAACAAACAGTGGTTACAAACTTTTATATTTCCATTCTAAACTAAGAGCAGTCAAATGCTGACTTCTATGAAGGAATGTAAGTATGTTGTATTATTTCCCACATGCTCTTCTGGGAGCCAAACATTTTCATCTGGGGACCTCTTATGTTTCTTTGGATGTGCCCTGACAACAGGATGCTCCGTAAGCCTAGTGTTAAAAGCTTTATCAGGAGCTTTTTCAGTAAGGATCAAAAGATCCTTTCAAAAGGGCTTTTTAAACCTGTAGTTACACTTTTCTTGAGGAGTTTTAGGACAAGAATTAAAAAAAATTAAAAAAATTTAGTTAAACAGTGTTTTCAACAAAAACAGATCTGCTCATGAAATGATGTATTGAGAAATTAATAATTTGATGTGCAAAATCTTCTTTGTTTCTATGACTCTCAAGCAGGTAGCTGTGGAAAACCAGATGACTCTTCTCACACCATGGAATAATTAGTCCAATTCTGCTGGAAAATTGTAACCTTTTAATGACTGACTGTTACCCTCTCACAAGCCCTTGCCTGGCATCTGAAAGTAGATTTCAGCCACTTATAAGCACTTCAGTGTTTTCCAGTGGACAGAGATTTTCCACTTACGTTGAAGGACAAGGTTTTCCCTTGGTGCCAGGACAGCTAATTTCTGCCATCAATACCTGCCATGCTCTCACTGTTGGGCTGCTGCTCATGACACCCATGCCTTTCCCAGCCATGTGTTCTGTACTGAATTTCACAGAACAGTGAGGGTGAGGAAGGAAGGCTAAAGAATTCAAATTGTTTAAGTGGTGTTATGGTCTGTGTACGTCTAAGAAATTGCTATTATTTTTTACTCTGCCTAGAACTGCAGTTCATGTTAGAAAATCCCACTGAAGAAAGGATGGCATATTACTGAGTGGGATGTAAAAACTACTTAGCTTTTCAGATCTCCATCTCTCTGATTATGTGATGCAAAAGAAAGAATAGAACCACATAAAGATCTGTGTTATACAAGGAATGCTCCTCTTTCCTGCGATGAGTTTTTGATATTGTGTAAAAAAATGACATCTCTTATCCACAAAGGTATTTTCCCCTTACTTGATGTCAGAAGGAAGGAAACCCCCAACCTGTCCCCACTGAGGCATCCCACAATGCCTATGATAATTCACACTATGGTCTTGTGCCTTTTCCTATATGAGAAAACTTTCCCTTTCATTTAATATTCAAGGTGTACATGAGTATATATAGGCAGTGCATAGTGCATAAATCAAACACAGCCTTCCTCGAAGCCGAAATGCTGTTGCTCTATATCCTCTTAGTGAGTTGCTGCTTACCTGGCTCAATGGGAGATGCAGTAAGAGAATTTCAAGACAACCTCAAGAATCTAACGAACGAGGAGGTGGGTCACTATCTCTTTTTCTTCATTTTCTGCAGTTCTTTCAATGGAAATATGAAGTGAAGCCCACGCTGGTTTCAGCTCTAGTTTGCGCGTCCTGTGTCTTGTTTGTTAAAGTTGAGATGCTCAAGGCACTGCGTGTCAAACTCTCC